ATGAATACGCGATACGCGTACCCATAATTGTTGTAAATATCCTTTTATCTCTCGTTGAAGTCGTTTTCCTCGTTTTTTGAGATCAATTGTTTTCACCACGAAATGCGATTCTATTGTTATTTGGAATCTCATAAAATGATTGCAATTTGCAACGATCTAGTTTTCTGCACTGCTTTAGAAAACAATTGAATCGATCGCAAATCTCTTGGGAACAGAAGTTGAACAAAATAATTGTAGGATTGTCCTCGTCGTACTTAATGAATAAAAACCGAATCGCTAAATGATGGATTTTGAAGGATATTGATGATTTCTTAAACATATATTTTACACATTTTCACTCCCTTAGTACATGATTGGGATAAAATTCTGAAATTTATTTTTAGTTAGTTGTGTGAATTACTTCTGTGATCGAAAACCAAATCTATAACTCATCAAACTTAAAAAATATTGACAAAATGGTAAAACCTATTTTCACTCTTTGTCGATCCCATAATTATACGTAATAATGTTGCTCGTTTTACAGATAAATATACCTTATAATTAGACTATTTTTATAAATAAAATTAAAGAAATAGAATACATATAAACATTTGTTTTCTCAGCTAAATATTATAAATTGTACTTATTTATATAGTACTGTATATTGCGTCTGTTTAAATTATTGAAAATTTTCGTAAATAATTCTGTTAAACATCCGTAGTCTACTTATCACACTTCCGAGTATACATATATGTAAGAGAGTTATTGCCCTGTTGTCTACTGGCCCTTCACATTTTTGCTAAACACAGACAAATGCTTACTCTTTACATAGACAGTAAGATAGATTATTAAAGAATGAACTTCGTCTTACATTATTAAAAATAAGGTACATATTGTGCTTCTAGTTTTCCTTTTCTCTTCAACGGAATTAATTATTTCTGCAATGAAACTGAATTATACTGATGTTTAGTTTTATGCTTATCATTTGAAAGAATGATTCAAATTTTCACCAATATAATTGTGTGCATTTGCTTAAAAAACAATTAAATCAGTTGGGATTCTTTTCGGCAGACGGATAACAATCATTGGATTGCATTTATAATTACGGACAATTATATGCTAATATGATTCTTTTCAACCTCGTGCACAGGTGAAACGCAGGGAGAAGGAAATATGGTATCGAGGAACGAGAATGAGAAGGGAAACGTAGCAACAGGGATGGGAAAGAGAAAAAGAGGGCAGAAAGTAGATAGAGGGTTGAAGTGAGGTGGGATCGTTGGCCTGGGACGGGTGAGGTTGGCGGCGGCGCGAGGAGAGAGGCAGATTTGACCCTGCTTGTGCACCTGGATAGGAGGCTGTAATCAATACCACAGAAAGCGCGCGCTGCGCCACGCCAGGCGCTCACCCCTTATCCGTCTCCCTACCGATACCTGAATAACAGCTGTACAGGTTCTCGTATCGTGCAAAATCTTCTTTCTTCTTTCCAAACTAGATAAAAGTTTATCGTCGTCCCTCCTAGTTTTTGATACGTACAGTAGAACGTTGATTATACGCGCCGGTTTTTCGAAACGTTGTTTATCCGACTACACAATAAATCACTTATATATGCATGCGTTATATACCTAAACTATGTGCTTAACAACGTACTATTCCAGTACATAGCAAAACTGAACATTTACTGAATATTGCATTGCAATCGGCCAAATATGAAAAAGGAATACTACAGGTCGTTTATAAACGTTTGTTTTCGAACGAATCCGCAAATTGATAGCATCTAAGAATGTTTGCTTTTCAGATAATGCATGTACGTACTTTTTGCGTAAAAAATATGCACTAAAGATTATTGAACTTCTATTGTACTTGGTTAATGATATTTTTTATAATATGAATTTCTCCAGACTGAAAAATCATTTACCCGAACAGGTTTGTCTCCCAATTAGGTCGGATAATCGACGTTTTAATGTAATTTATGTACGTCATTTTATTCGTTTTGACGTCCTGAATATAAATATAACTTCCATTTTTTGTATAAATGAACATTTTGTAAAATATACGTAAAAACACAGTCCTACTAACACATTGAATCCTGCGTCTGTGACACAGTTGTAAGCATAGTCATAGCCACTACAATAGATGATAACTATGCTGTCTTATAAACAAAAACCAAAACGTGGACCACATGAAAAATTTATTCTCTATATCGATATCACAGCAAAATGGAGTACTTTCTATAGAAATTTCTGCAATTTTATAACAAAACGGAGAACCGTATTTGCAAAGCTGCAATAAACACACGAAGTAACAGATATAACTTAAACCATCCGAAGGTGTTGACCACATCTCCTAAAAAGTTATTGTCTTTTGTTTATGAAATAGGATAATTATACAGGGTGTCCCAGAACTAGTGTAAGATATTGGAATGGGAGGTTCCTGACGCAATTCTAAACAACATTTTCCTTTGCGAAAAAGTTGTCCGAGGGGTGGTTAAGGAGTTATTAATAAAAAACCCCGACCAATGAGAGCGCTCAGCTGGCGCGAACTCCGGCTCGGGAGCGTTGGCTCGCGGCCGGAC